CCCGACGTGCCTCCTGCGCCCAGATCCCGCGCAATCATCACTCCTGCACCTGCTCTGCACCGAATCTGCATCAATCTCCAGCTCTGCACTGCGCCAGCCTTCCTCTGCACCAAATCCCCTTGCCGCCTGCTGCGCCGAACCAACGTTGCTTGCATGCCTGCACTCTGTACCAGCATCATGACCCTGCACCGAGCCCTGCTGCACCCCTGCTGCTCTGCCTCTGCACGCTACAGCAGCTCTAGACAAATTAACATTAATATTGATTGACAGAGCAAGGCTTTTTTATTATTTTTATCTTTATTTTTATCTTTATTTCGGGTATATATATAGAGAAAAATCAGATTGAAAGGGGGTTGGTTAGTTTTTGAAGTTTGATAGAGAGGAGAGGTCGGTATTGATTTTGGGGGGGGTTGATTTCGGGTCTGTTGCTGGGAGATTGGTTGTGGTTGATCTGGGGGGTTCTCTTTTGGTGGCGGGTTTCTCTTTTGGAGGGTTTTTCTTTTCGGAGAAGTTCTCTTGGTTGTTCTCTTTCCAGTCTGAGTTTGGGGTGTCGCTTGAGGACAGCGGGACGATCACTGAGCTGAGCAAGATTCTGCATTTTTTTGGGTTTTCATCTTAGGTATTTTCCTGCAACAGAGGAGTCTTTTTGGGGAGGCAGTGAGGGGGAATGATCTAGGCTTGATCTCGTGGGTGGGATCCGCCAGATCGGACTCCGATCTGTTACCCAGAAAGCTCCGCCGTGTTTGTTTCTTTTGTCCTCCTGTTTCCGTGACATGCTTTTGTGATGTTTACGTTTGTATATGTTTACTGAAAATCAATGAAAGATAAAAAAAATGTTCAGTTTATTTTGTGTGATGATTGTATTTCCCTTTCTTTCTTTCTGTTAATGAATGTTTCATTTTATTTTGTTTTTATTTGGAATGAATGTGTTCTTCTTTAAAACAAAAAAAGGGAGTAGAAAGGAGATGAACCAGACTTGTTCTGTTTGGTGTTTGATCTGTTTTGCCTATTATAGGTTGATGGGTTGTGTTTTTGTGGGTCGGGTCAACCCGATCCAATCTAACAAAAAAAACAAAAAAAAAACTAAAAAAGGGTTAAATAGTAAAAAAAATTAATAATATAAAATTGTTGATTAATTAAAAGAGTTAGTTTAATTTATGATTAATGAAGTTAATTAATTTTAATTAAAATAAATTAATCATATTTATTGAGTTTGATTTGAGATGATTAGATTTATTTAGTTATCTCAATTAATGATCAGTAAATATGATTAATTAATTTTAATTAATTTTAATTAATGTTAAGTTAATTATTTAATTAGATTAATTATTTTGATTAATTAATTTTAATTTTCAATTAACTTTAATGTTGGTCAAAGTCAAAGCTGTCTTTTATTTTATTTCAAATCTTACCCAACGCTTTTGTAATTAAGCAATCTAGTCCATGGGTCAACTCTTTTTCCAATCAATCCTCTATGTTTGTGAATTTAATCAAGTTAGTCCCTTAACTTCTTGTTTATGTTATTGTGCATGCATGTCTTTGATTTCGTCCACTTTAGTCCAAAATTTTAAAAATGTTTCAATTTGGTCTATCCCTTTTTCAGGCTTACCTATTAAGACTCAAACATAAACATGACGATTAAGTTGAATCAAAACCCCAATGTTAAAGTATGCAACCGTGTGTTAAACGGAGGATTGTGAGGTGCGCGTATGCCCTTCCTCACTCCTAACCGAACCCCCGAACCCCGATTTCTGCGCAGACATGTTTTAGGTGACTTGTCCCACCTTATAATTTGGACGAGTGGCGACTCCCTTTTTCTTATATATTTTCACACTTGATTTTTTCAATTCATTTTGAAAAAAATCTTAAGTGGTCGTCAACATAAACATGATGAATCAATTGAATCAAAACCCCCAATGTTAAAGTATGCAACCGTGTTTAAACGGAGGATTGTGAGGTGCGCGTATGCCCTTCCTCACTCCTAATCGAACCCCCGAATCTTGATCTCTGCGCAGACTTATTTTTGGTGACTTGTCCCACCTTATAATTTGGACGAGTGGCGACTCCCTCATTTTTATATTTTTCACACTTGATTTTTCAATTTATTTTGAAAAAAAAAATCTTAAGTGGTCGTCAACAACATGGGAAACAGAAATTTTTTTTTTTTGGATATTCACGTTATTGATTTCTCCAATAAAATTAATTTGAAAAAAAAGGTGGATTTATTTAAAGGAGTTTGATTATATGACTACATGAGAGCATGATTGGATGCGGTTGAGTAAATCATAATGAGACACGTGGGTGCTTTTGAATTTTTGATCTTTTGATTTAGAGGAATGGGTTGACTTCTAGAACTTTTTGCTTGGGGTTAAAACTTCAAGAACTTCTTTTCACTACTTAGTTTTCTCTTTATCAAATGTCATAAGGTCGAAATTGCCTAATTTTAGTGTCATTTTAGATTAGGTATAACGCTAAAATTAGCCTGAATTACCAATTAATCTAAATAATTTAGTGATACATATATTTTAAAGTAAAAAGTCAGAAATTCTAATAATATAAATGCAAATAAAGTGAAGATAATTACTTTATAATATGTAAAGTAAAATAAAAAATTTAATCTAAATTACTCTTATAAGTTTTTGTTTTTTTGTATAATAATACATATTAAAAGCATAAGTTGGTGGATAACTAACAAATAAGTATCAATATATATGTTTTAGGAATAATGATAAGAAAGTTCGAATAATGGAATGATTTCATAAAACAAATCTAAGGTAGCTAATTACATCAATAATATATTAATAAAATAAGGTTTATATGTGTCTCATTTCTTTTTCGTATTCTCTTTATATTTTTATGATTTTTTTCTTGATCTGGTTGATCCAAATCCAAATTCTCTTTTCCAAATCTTCATCTTTTGTCTCTATTTTTCTCATCTCTCTGGCAAAAACTAACTATAGATTTAGAGAATCTACTATTTAGAGTTCAATTTTATCAAACAATTAAGATTTAGTTTTTCTTGTTCTTCCTTTTTTTTTTTTTTTTTTTTAAAACCAAGTCTAGAGGATTTCGATTCCCGAGGTTAAACCTGATCCTTGAGTCTGGCGAAGTCCACTGGAGGAAGAGCTTAGTAAAAGAGGGGAGATGAAAGAGAAAGATAGGAGATTTTGAAAGGAAAAGGAACAAAAAAGAGATAAAAGATAAACTAGTAAAAATAACTTAATTTATATTTTTAAAAATAAATATATTAACAACATAGCTTGCTATGTTATTAATCCATAAATTCGTCCCTTTTATCATTGCCCATGTTTTAGACGTCACATTACTTTTAATTGTTGATCTATAAGATTTAATTAATCAATCTAAAGTTTTTGTAAGCTCAGGAACGCATGTAACTATCTTTGAAGCCAAGTCTTAAAATAATTCCATGTCAATAAAATATTATTCACCAGGAACTATCTTGCATAGGGTGAAGCTTAGCAAAAAGGTGTAGAAAAATATAAGAGTGTAAAATGTCTAGCTGTGCTTGTGGCGGTGCCGACTCTGATATCCTTTTTGACGATATCTCATAACATGCCTGTCCAAGCAGGTACAGCCATGAAAAAAGAGGGGAGCACCATCACCAAAATACAGAGACAGAATGATAGCTATGAACATGTACGGATCCTGTGATAAGCCCATGAAGATGAATTTTATTGTTGGAATTTTGTACCCTTTTGAAATCTCTGCTCTAAATCAATGGAGCAGACCTTCTTTTTTTTTTTCCTTCTCTTTCCAAGTTGAATATCTTCAAATCTACAAGGTAGATGACCTGCGTTAAGCAATTAAGATCACTGAATCAAAACGATCCTTCCTGGTTATCAAAATAATAACAAGAGTCTTCAGTTTGAACCAGCTAATTTTAATACATTCCGAACTTGAATACTCAAAAAAACACTCAATGATAATCATTTAAGGGTGTTAGTCTTTTCAAACCCCCAATGTCACCAGAACTAGCTAGTTGGGACTGGAAACAGTCTTTCATAATAATAATGATGATAATGATAAAACTATGCTCTCCTTACCTTCCCTTTGATTCTTATAACAATGGAGGCGGAATTTAGATCTCTAGAACAATATCTGCAATGTAAAAACAATCTAGGCACATTAGTCTCAAAGTTCTGGGTTTATATATTATGAGCATTTAGCATAATTAGTTCAATCTGGTTAATCATGAAACTTACATTCAGAGTCTGTCTTTACCCATTTATGTCCATCGCTCTTTCTTTCTTGGGTTTCATCTTCACTTTGCTTCTTCCCTGTTTGTTTGTCCTCTAAGTATTTCTTCATGGATGATACCCAGGCAGAATTTTGAGTGTATATCTTCTTATGCAGCATCATCCTCAAAAGCTGTCACACCAAATATGATTCATTGAAGTGAAATCAGTCACAAATCTCAAAACTGTAAAGAAAGTAAGATCAATTTTTCTGAAATGTTATCTGCATTTATTACCTTCTCCATTCTGGACTCTTGAAGTGTATCTCTCAAGCTGGGTTGAGGGGCAAACCCACTGCTACAAACAAACATCTTCTTCAAAAGGAAAGAAATAGATTTTTTCCCAATAGATTTCTTCTTATTCTCTGCACAAATGTCCTTGCATCTACCAAGAATAACACTAATGGTTCGATCAATATCTTCTTCTTTATAATTATCGTCTGAATCACTGCAGAGTGCATTACTGATTCTCCTGTCCACCTCCAGGCTGGAGGGGCAATTAAGAAATCTATCCAACGGAAGGTTGGCGAGTTCCTTCACATCGGAATTGGGTTTCTTTGACAAGAGTTTTGTCAACTCTTTCTGTAATTTCCCCACTTCTTCTGGCGTGAACTCCTGCAAATCATCGGATGAAGATGGTTCCTCTTGGATATTAGATGGGTCATCCTCCTCTTGAATGATGTCTTGAATTTGAGGGATTCTACGGTCCCTCAGATCACTGTTACCGAAGGTTCCTATTGCCAGTAATCCATGAGGCCAGTCACTGAACTCTTCACGAGATTCCTGCTTCTTATAATCTAGGCATGGAGATGAAACGAATGTTACTTAAGAATCAGACTTGGATTAATTATAAATAGAAAACACAAAGTACTAATATTATAAGAAGTTTGTTGGGCATTGGATGAAGATTGCATGTGCAGCATGTCCAACTTGTCTCAACTTTGTTTATAAACTCCTCGTGCAATTTCTGGCAGAAACTATGGGCACCTAACAAGGCTATTGGACTCCTTGATGTCTTGTTGTCTTGTATTTTGCTAAGAGAACATTAAACAAAATCTAAGAGATTTTGCTTGGAAAACAACTACTAATTGTATGGAATCACATTAAATGGCTCAAACATTACCACAGTTAATGAGAAGAATGTCATGTCTTCATTGGCTAGAAATTGGAAGAATGTCATGTGATAGGTAATAATATGCAGACAACCCATTTGTACTACTTTGATTTATAACTTCCATATATCATTACATAAGTAAATGTATGGGTATCAATAGAATGAAAAGAACTATTTATTAAATAAAGAATATGTAAGGCATATGAAAAAGTTGTATAATAAAAATTGTCTCTTAATCATTTTTTGGAAAAGTGAAACTAAACAACATGAACAATGCACCAGAGATTTCTTAATTATTGTTTCCCATTGAACTTGGATCTACAAAATTATTTGACTCATTCTACAGAGATCTAAAGGGGGTGATGATCCAAAATCCTCACCAATTTTTCTTTCAAGTATTATTTAATTTTCTTCTTTGAGGTTCAAACTGTGAGGCTAACTAGATTCTGTCACAGTTATGTTCAATCCTTCACCTCATATGAACCAAAAAGGCTTATATGAAACGTTCATGCATGTTCACAACATATGTTTGAGAATCTAAAATTGAAGATTAATCATACAACAGAAGACAAAGAGTGCTTACGAGTAGCTGGAACTGGAACAGTATTTGATTTTCCATTTGCTTGTTTTCCATTGATCTTGTTTTGCATCCAACTGAGAAACTAGATAAAATCAAACGCATCATCAATTTAGACATTTTAGTCATGTAGAAATTCAAATATATACAAACATAGGAAAACTTACCTTCATTTTCAGATATAGAACAATTTAAACTGAGCCTTGTAGGGGAGCTCTAAAGGTGGCGAGCCTGGAGGTGATACAGGAATGTAATTTGGACAAGTCAGGCCTTTAAGAAGAATATCTTAAAAGCCAATGAGTTTTGAGCTTTGGAAAACTAAAAATATAGATGGAATTTTGATGAATTTTATGGAGAGTTCCTTTATTGGTTCAAGTTCCTAAAAGGCGGCCTTTTGCAACTTCATCCCCTCCTTCCCACCTGTAGGATTTGGACAGTTGCATACAACTTTTTCCCATTCTCCCAGTCCCTTCCCTTCAACTTCTTTCTGTTTCACTTCTCATTCTATGAACACCATACCACTAATACAGTAGTAGCTCAAAGTCAAAGACATTCTCTTCTAATTCATAATGCATTTATGCAAGTGCCAGTAAAATATGATCAAGATGAGCAAGAATATATAATATGGGTGTACTGACATTTGGCTGCGCAGGCACCCTCGTGGCACTACTTCCATCAATTAGATCACAAGAGAGATGATGATTCCAAGGCCATCGGATCTCCAAAAAAAAAAAAAAAATCCAATGGTTGTAAGACTGACACGAGTTTTTCAAATATTTCACCTTTTGTCAATCAGTGTTTCCTTCTTCCAATATCCTCCTACCTTACATTGCACGAACAATTACTACGTTGATTACTTGAAATGTCACCTTGCTTAAAAAAATTGAACAGTTTGTTCTAATCATGCTTATTATATTCCGAGAAAAAGGGCAACCTCTTTAATTGTAGCAATAGGTAACTAGTCAAGGACATTGTGATATGCATGGTTGAAAAGTTGATGGAATGTGACATGAGTAGATTGAGTGTGTTTCAAATTAACTTCTCTACTGCTATGTAATCCTGACATCTCGCGAGTTTTAACGAAATGAGACTAAAAAACCTATTGTTTCTATTCTTAGATAATGAACATTTACTTTGCCATTAATGTATTTTTAGAGCATTACTAATTCTTTTGTACCATATCTTTCTAAATTACAGCAAAAGTAAGCTAGAGGAACTGATTAACTGACAAATTAATGACATAAAACAAACACCCTAAAAGATGAAGGAATGGGAAGAATGGAGAAGGTTATAATAAAGGAGTGAAGAGAAGAAACCCCACGTTCTCATGGGATGTATGCTTCTCACCGAATAAATCTAACCTGTACTGATTGTAGGGAATCCAAGACCAGGCTGGAATTCTTGATAACCTGTTCGAATGAAACCAAGGATAATATGCCAAGGACAAAGAGCAAATCTTTAGCGCATAAAAACTACACTTTGCACTGTCACTTCGTTCATTTGTGCAGCACATGTTGTATGTTGCACTAACAAATTCATAAGCAGTGGGATAACACAGGCTTTAAACAAAACAACAAAGTGCTATATTGATAAAAATTCATAGGAAGATAAGATTTCTCCTTTCACACAGTGTGTTATTTGTATAAAAGTGGTGGCAACCCAACAGCTCCATTATGTCTTTCCTTTTGGAACCAAAAATGCACAGTTGGAAGAAGAGCTATCTTCCTCAGAAAATGTCTCAAGTTTTCATCCATGGTTTCACATTTAATTATATCAAAATGCAAAAGTTACATTTTTCCTGATCAGGGACCTCTAATTATAAAGTATTCTTGACCGAACGAAGAGAAAGAAGCAAATGCATTTAGTCTAAATGGTTTTTTAAGCTTTCAAGTTCAAATCACATGGGACAATAAGTTGTTACTTCAGTTTAATATTAATTTTTCTCACACTTCCTTAAGCTTGTTACATTAATTGCATATTTTTTTTCCATATACCCAGCAGTAATACCATAGTTCAAGAGGTAAGGATTTATAATCTATATTTATTATTGAAAATAGTGTTTATCCACCTTACCTCTTAAAAATTAAGAAAAATATTATTTTAAAACTACGTAATTTTAATAAATACCTATTGAAAAAGACTAAAGATTTTTTTTTTAAAATATAAATTAAGATATTTTTTTATTCTTTTTCCTCTTAATTTTTTGAAAGTAAGACAAATAAGTACTACCCCTTCGTAATTTGATTATTCTTATAAATTTATGCATTCCAAACTTCCAATCCAACCATCCAAGATTAAAGAATTCATCACTTTCCCCCAAATTAATGAACCACAAGGAAACAAATTTAAAAGACCACTAAATCAGAAAACTAAGAGGAAATTTCCCAAGACAGTACTATAAAATGTACGCAGAACAAATCTTTTTTAAAAAGAAAAATGAAATTGTAAATCAGCTTCGACTCCCCACGTTTCGAGGAAGAAATTAAGATCACCCAAATATAAGCATCTCAATGAAAGATCTAAGAAAGATTTATAATTATTATTTTTTAACTACTTTAAAATCAATAGACTGTACTTTTGAGTTACCATTTATATGCAGGCGAGTTAACGGCAAAAAATCTTTTGAATCAACTTGACAGTAGTTGCAACACAGGCAATTAAACAGTGAGTTCCCAGGAGACACAGGAGTGACAGGAACTACAAATTGTCGAGTGCCAACTAGGAAAGTGAGAATGTGTTGTCTAGTAGCACAAGAGGGTCCGTACACCCATGTGCGTCCCTTCCACGTCAGGCTGGAATAGTGGAATTTACGAAGTGGGTCAGGTATGGTACGTGTCAAAGACAAAATAAATCCCATCGTCTGCTGTCGGTCCACAAATGTCCCTATAGGGTCGGGTTGACTTTCTACGACTGTGATCTAGTATGATAATCTCCGAGTCTCCACTCATTAATGATTCCGAAACCCCTTTTGGCCAATTGGAAAAACGAACCAATCTCTATGGTTCCAAAACAATTTATCTACCTCCTGTTGCACGGTTTGAATATGTTATGAACACTTTAAAATAGTACTTAATCACTATTTTTTATTATATTTAAAAGACTTGGTTTTTGCAATTCCTTAAGAAGGTTTAAGATGTTTTAGTTGATCTGAGTGATTTGATTAAGTTATAGGCACGACCCTTGTTTGGACCATTGAATCTACATCTATATGTGAGTAACTGTCGCCTCAAAGTAAGGTCTTTTATGAAATTCTTGACTAAATGTGTTGTTTATACTTGATTAAGCTAGATTAGAGCTAGTATGTTCTTTGGTTTATGGTGCGGTACTAATGCATATAAACAAACATAAAACCAATCCAATCGTCACCCAGTTCGTCACCACAAAGGTTAATTTACAAGAGTTTAAAAGAAATAAACTTCATCGAGATGCATGTATATGCAGATGAAAAGGGGAGTCAAGGATCACTCCCACCAACTCCAAGATAACAAAAGGAAAGCAAAGCCATGTGAGTTATGGCACATACTAGACGTCTAGGGTTCAGGAATGGAGCTAAATTTTGGCAAGCTTACTAATTCTGGAATGTATGGGAACTCTGGCCAATTTAAACTATGATCTTGTATGATGTGGACCTCAATCCTCTAGGTGGAGGCCATCATGGTTTGAATAGCTCGGCTTTTATTGGATCTTAAGTTTAAATAAATAAAGTTCTTGCACTAAGGTTAAGCAAATTGTTTCAACACAGCAAGATTGTGCCCGTGAAACTTGCCAGAGCAAGACATTATGACTTATAGCCTTCCAGGAGAGTAATAAAAGCACAGAAATTTTCTCAATAATAATGGGGAAATCCTCCACTTACTAGGACCCTGTTGGTGTTCTCGTATTCAACAAGAGGACAGCTCTATAGTCGGTATCTAGCCGTATTTCTAGAGTTCTGAATCTGGTTGCCAGTGTCTATAACTTACTATGGTGACACCTAAACAGCTCATACACAAGTTAGGGCAGGCGAAAATGACAAATGAATGTTGGACTCTGATAGAAAATAATTATATATGTATAATCCACTTGAACTAAGCTAGCAAGATGTGAAAAAGAAAAGGCAGTAATGAAAACATTGAGAAGAGTCGAAGCTTTAGTTAATTGCATCCTTCCAATATTTCTGGTCTTAAGCAAATTAAAGTTATCTTATCACACCTAGCATTGGACTCATAAGTTTGAATGTTTCAATCTAGGTCAAACCAACCAACCACAATTCAGATAATTTGACAATTAAACTAAGTTAGGGATTGGGTGCCCATACCAAGTTGTTCACCTCAGTTTGAGTTCCAAATGCATCCTTATGCGTCAGACAGTCATCGTTGAAGAAGAACAGAACATCTGGGCAATAAATACCTAATTCAAGGCCCTTGAATAGACTTAGCTTCATAAACTCAAACTTTTAACTCTCATGTCTAAGTAACTAAACATGTGGCTTGATAGCATGTTTAGTAAAATAGAAATTCTTGTGTAAATCATTGTCATATGCAATATAATGCTAGATAGATTGAAAGACGTTAAGGTACCATGAAGTTTGAAAAAACTAGCAAACCCACAAAAGCATAGAGAAGTACACTGCTTAGATCATATAAAAAACATTAAAGAACAACCATGATGCAGTGTTCTCAAATTCCTCTCTTTTTTCTTTTTCCTTTTTTTTTTCTTCACACCCCTTTATTTTTTAACTTCTATGGCATCCTAACTTCCAAATAGCTTGCAAGTAGAATGAGCACTATGAAGTATAAACCAACATCCCACGAATCTACAAAGTATTGAGTTGAAGACTCAATTGTGCATAAATAAAATTAGAATCTACTATGAATGACATTTAAAGAAGAGAACAGATAGGAAACCCACTGGTACCACAGATCCCTAAACAGATCCATAAGTGATGGAGAACAATATATGATCCTGACTTCTAGCATCTCAACTGGTTAGTCTTAGTCCTAGACAAATTTTTAGCGCTAGAAGGCCCAGCAAACTTACCAGAGTCCAAGAGAATCTGGCACAGCTTAAGAATCAGTGAACTCCAGAAAGACAACAACCACCCTTTTCAAATGTCATTCTTAGAGTATATCAGCATAATACTCTCCTGTAATAAGGAGAAAAGGGGAATCATCCTTTCAATTTACCATCTTCCATCAACACAAAGTAGAAGTCCTATTTGTTTAACTTCCAATTCTGCATTCAGTTCAACTTTCCTTTTTAGATACAATACTTCAACATGACTTTACAACAGCTGCTACTGCTAATGGGTCCACATGAAGAATGGAAGCTGTCATTCTGAAGGTTCATATGAAACCTTATTCAACATAGAGGTTTGGCTGGTGTCTTCAGTATATTCAGTTGTCTGATATGACTCTAGAACAAAGTCAAGCCACTTTAAGTTTCTAGACACAATTGATGGAGGTACTGTAATCTGGTATTTTGAGTTTCTTACACTCTCTGGCTTTGATTAAATGTTTCAGGCTGCTGCAATGCCATGTATGACTTTTCAAACTGCATATATTCCATGGCAAAATTATTATTATTACAATAGTAATAATAATGTATAAATAAATAATGGAAAACATCCTTCTTAGTTGGCCAAGTAACAAGTTCTCTATCACTTAAGGCACATGGTACATCTTGCAGTGCACATAATATTCAATGTATATTGATGGTCAACTCTCAACTCAGTCATTGTTTGATAGTAACCAAATATAAGCTATATTAAAGTGCAACAATTTATGGTAAAGAGAAACTTAGTACAAACTTAACAACAGAAGGCAGTAACCACCATGTATGAATGAGAAGGAAGCAGGCAAGTTGTACATTCCAGTATAATTCTGTCGGAAGATAAAGAAACGGGTTTAGCTCCAACCTTGAGTGCTTATAAGTCAAAGTTCATCATGATTTGCGACTGCTTCATCTGTGGAAAAATAACAATGAATTTAAACAAAAAACTTCTCTTAGAGGTAGAAATGCATTTTCCAAAATGGATGACTTTCCTTTTTCTTAGTCCTGCATAAACATTTTTTCCCTACCTATTTTATTTATTATTATATCCTTGATGGAATCTAAACTTGTCTCCAATCTATCAAATAATTAGACAGAAATGTACAGTGACATTGTAACGTTGACGATCTAAGATTAATATGGAAAATTACTATACTGGTCCATTCAATTCATAGATTTAGGAAAAGAAAGAGAACAACTGTTAAAATTGCGCAAACCAACAAACATAGGACCTTGAAGAACTATTAGGAATAAAAAAGTTTGAAACATATTTTCCACACAGAAAAGTGACAATGAACTCAATTTCTTATATAAATTCTTGCATTCAGAGCTCTTAGACCACATTAATTATTGGTAAATTCTTAACTTAAAGCACCAAAATATTCCAATTTGGGTAGATAAAATTAAGAAAAATGATCTGCCTCAAAATTCCTCAGTCATATACACGCACACCAGCCTCTTTCCACAGTACAAGAGAAATCAAAAAAAAGGAAAGGGGCAAAAAAAAAAGGCATGTAGATACTCGAAGTCACTATTTTTTGACAAAGCAGCTATAAACCAAAACCTACAAGCATCCTACAAAAAATAAACAAGATAGTCCAACCACAGGCAAATTACAGCCATCATGAATGCAAAGAAACTATTCTCTTTTCTCCTGTGAAGTCATTCATTGAGAAAGTCCTTGTTGATGAATGTGGCACAGGTTTGATGAGCAAATCGCATTCCTAAATCATAAAGAAGCTGCCTCAAATGCTACATATGATCAAAGTATTGTATGTGTCCTATTTAATTTGATGACCAATGACTTAAGGTGACTATATGTCATATATCATAGTCATCACCATCTCAATAAAGCATGCATATCCAAAGAGCACATTAGTTATCACCATTTTTGCTGATAAAAAGGAAAAGAATTTAACCTGAAGATGTCTCTTTGAAGAAAAAAGCAATCTCCCTTTCAGCAGATTTATTGGAATCAGAGCCATGAACACAATTCTTTTGTAAATCTAGCCCACACATTGCTCTTATACTGAGAGCAGAAGAAACAATCAACAAATGATTCTGAGATAACTGGTCAGGGACCCTAATCTCACAAGGCAGTAAAAAAAAAAAAAAATCAGATGTGTAACCTTCATCTTGTATATAGCAGAGTATCCAAACTTCAGAATATCATAAGATAAAGGCCACAATTCCTCATAAAAAACATAAGAACAAAGTAAAAAACAAACTCAGAAACATAAAAACTCATGTAATTTTTGAGCAGTAATATCAGTCCTCAATATAGCAGCTGTTCAACATGTAGGAGTGGCCAAAGAGATTATTCACATAGAAATGAATAACAATGATCAACAAGAATAATGCGTAACCTTTGTGGATCAGTTATCTTGGCCTCACGAGCATCAGTTGGCCCAATTAAGTGACGCCAATCAGCAACAGCATTTTCCTTTTCCAAAACCATAACCAACACTGGACCACTGGTAGAAGCAAAATGTCAGAGCAAGCAGTAGCAAACTTGGAATTGGAAATATGATGGAATAAGTGAATAAGATGCTAGTCAGTTTTCAGGTTATGAAGACTTTTCAACCTTGATATAATAATAGCTAAATACGAGGCAGCTTATGATATGAGATAAGCAGATCATCAACTGTCACCAAATTTACTCTTCTTTTGGATCACAAATTGAAATAATAAGACAACACAGTTTTAAGATAAGCCGCCTCATAAGCGTCAGATAATTGTACAATGATAATCAGCATACTCAAGACAGATGAATTTAGTTTTGTCACAATCTGAACTAACAAGTAAACAAGGTTATTGACAAATTGCTTTTTCTTGTACTTTTTTTGATAATAAGATTTAAGAATGATTGACAATGTTGATTCCTGAATTCCATATACAACTTTTTATATTGTACAATGACAAAAAAGAAAAAAAAAATGCAGAGTTTTGCATAAGTGTAGCAGTTTCTGAAAAAACAACAGTGTGGAGAACACTACAAAAAGCAATTTAGTTTTATATCAATACCACTAATCCACTTTGACTTCAATCACTATGTATTAAGCAGGCAACTAGAGAACAAAGAGATTAAGACCAAGCAAGAACCTAGTCATGTAGTTGATAAGACTAGCGAAGAAGCTCTTTGAAGAGTGCTCAGCATAAAAAGTTGCTGCACTCTCCTCATCAAGTTGAACAACCGTTTCCTTGGCAATGTTGAAATGAGAATCCAGTATGACTTGTTTTATTCTATCAGAATGGTTACCAAATAACCCATCAGGCTTTATAATAGCCAATGTTCTCTCCTTTTCTATACTTCGATTGCTTGAAGACCTGCTGCATTTTTTGACCATTCAAGATAAAGGTTCTTAAGATTAGCAAAGAAACAGATATCAACATAAAGAAATAGCTCATTTTGTACTAAAGCCAGAATTCGTCCCCTATTCAAACATTATCAAGTCCCATTGGTACTTCACTATAGAAAAATACCTAGAAATTGTAATGGCTCATAAATTGAAGGAAACAAATTAACGAAGTCAGAAGCAAATAAAGATCTTGGAATCATAAATATCAAACTCCAAACGACATAATACATGGAATCTACGCTTTGTTTGGCAACTAAGAAAATCAAATTTAAGGAGGTTTATCTCTTCTGCTCCCTTTTTCAGCATTTTCTCAGTAAAGAAACAACAATTAAACGACTAATTGAAAAAAAAGAAAAAGAAAAAGAAAAAGAAAAAGAAAAGAGAAACCCTAAGTATTTGCATACCTGATTGGAGAGAAAGACACCAAAACGAAAAGGATCAGGAATCTGTATAGTGACTGGATCATACAGAGTCTCATTTGAAGAACCTAAAGACCAAAAACCAGAGATAAGCAATCCATGATCCACAATCAGTAATATAATGTTGAACGGCAATAAAAACCGCAAAAAGATTTGATGAATAATGAAAAGAATAAAAGTAAACAAAAAGGAAGCTAAGCTTTCAGTATCCAAAAACGACGGGATCGTTGAATCGGCCATGCCGATTGGTATGGGATGGGACGGAATGGGATGGGATGGATAGTGTAATTTGCTGGTAGAGGCTCCATTTTTGAATTCGAAGCTATGGAAGCAGTTATATCTGATTCTTTCTAGTGAATTTTCATGCATTTTCTCGAGATCCAAACAGGGAGTTACCTGGAGTTTATACCCGAAGAAGAATGGCGGGAAAATGGAAAACAGAAACCAGGTATTTCCGGGTGAGAATGGACTTGGAGAAGACTTTTGGAGGGGGAGCGCTGTTAGCTGCCAAGAGTTGAACACTATAACAGTGACATGGCACTTGGTTATTACCACCATTTTAATTTTTTTATTTTTAAAAATAATATTTAAAAATACCAATTTATTAATTAATTTTAATTTATTAACTACAATAAACATTAACTATTTAATAAATTATTTGATAATAGTTATAATTATTAACTGAGGAACAGTAATAAATGGATTAAAATTTAAAATTAAAATCGGGGATCAATAATATAAAATAAGTTAAATTGTTTAAAATATTAAAAAATAAAATTTATATTATTTAATGATTAACATTTTTAAAATTTTTTAAAACTTATGATATTATATGCATTAATTAATTTAATAACGTAATATAAACTATATTATTGGTTTCAAAATTTTGACTTAATTTTCGTCATTCTTATAATTACTCTTTTTTTTTTGAACGAATTTTACAAGTAACTGGGTTCGAACCCCAGTCCTGAGAGGAGAGAATGCACCATGAGTGGTTATTGTCACTTGGCCTGAAGGGTTCGGTGCCTTATAATTACTTTTTTATAAACTTTATTAAACAAAATTAAAATTTTTAAAGATAATATTTATAATTTTTATTAGCCTTAAAATTTAGATTAGTGGACAAAAGTTGAGAAATATCTCTACCAAACCAGCCTTACCAA